TATCAGTGTACATCCTCTGGTCTAGCCAGACTTGCAAGGTCGAATTCGAGTCATGGTAGTGGGAGCGGGGAGGAAACATTTAGGAATTAGAGGAAAGTTGTATTGAAAACAAACAAATTTTTTTAAAAAAAGAAAGAAAAGCCAATAAATAGTTCCAGGTCTGTATATTGACCTTTATGAATGTTTTCTGATCAAGTCTGATGAGGTGCCACACCTGGGACTTCATTGCTCTGCTCCCCTTGCTGCTCTGTTGCACGCCCTTTGTGTTTCTCCCCATGTGGTAGGGTGAGATCGGGCACAATTCCCGCACTGTGTCATATAATTCGCACTTTGGTAGCTATATGATCGTTTGTCGATTTGAGGATTAAAAGTGTTGTAGTATTAAGTGTGTGTGGGGGGGGCAGCCCCCCACCGTTAACCATGGGGTTCAATAAGCACAATTATATGGTTGAGATATATAAATATTATATTAAAGTCATCGAGAGCATGAGTGATAGAAGAGAGTCAAACAATGGAGTCAGCCACATTTCATGGTAGCATTGCTCACCTCAGCCCAGCTTGGTGGTCCATGTGGAGAGAAAGGGAAGGGAAAAGGGACAAGGGAGAGAGGGGAGGGGGAGAGGCCAGCGAGAGGAGGAGAGGAGGAGGAGCAGGGAGGGGGCAGCAAGAGAGAGATCTCTATTGCTAACCCAGGCCTATGTACCTTTTGGGGGCATGCAAGCCCACTAATTACAGGTAAAGACATGCATCACAGAAAGGGGTTGCACTATAGGTTATACAGCAATGAGAGGGGGTGGTCTAGGGACATACACACAACAGGAAGAGGAGGGATTGGGGGTATACATGTGACAAGATGGGCGGATCCTAGAATTAGGGTGGCAGCTTAACTTTGGATGTCACAGAGCCAGTTTGACTTGTTCCTGGCTCAACTGATAGAGACCACACCAGTAGGGTGTGAACTCCACCTACAGGAGCCTGTCTATTGTCCCCAGCAGCAGGGAGTAGGCCCACCCCTGTGGTGGGGTTTGACCTCCCCCCACAGAGTGCAGGGGTGGAGTCTAGCTTGTCAATCAGATCATAGCCAATGAGGCCTCTGTATGAGTGTGGCCTTCTCCTGAGAATTCTGGGAAATCCAGTACTTCCTCCTTGGAGGTAGGAGTCTCTCTGCTCATGCCCTGGGAGACATAGCAGCTGACAAGACACATGGGCCCACCCTGATGCAGAAACCCCTGCCAGTGCTGAGATGTTTCCAATAACACTGGATCCAAAGACTTTCTACCCACTGCCCTGTGATCTTCTACGTTTGGTGTCATTGCATATGTTTCGTGAAGAGGACTTTATATATTGGTATTGGACATATAGGCTAATATAAGACTTATGGACTTGATCTGAACTGGGCTGGGATGTTTTCTCAATGTTCAATTGCTCTTGTATATAAATCTCTTTCTTACACACATATGCGTGTCAATGGATTTGTTTGTCTAGTCTACCCAGACTAAGTCTACCCAGACTAACACACACACATCATACAATTCAGTGGTTCAATCACATCGAGAAACGTTGTACAATCATCACCGCAATCAGTTTTAAAACATTTTCTTCATTCTTGTACTCATCATCATTAGCTCCCTATTTCTCTCCAACCTCTCCAGCCCTACCCCCAGTGAGCCATTAATTCAGCTATTGTCTCTATAGAATTACCTATTCTGGATTTCATATGCAGAAAAACATTTAAAAAAAACAAACCAAAAATACCCCAAAAGCCTAACAACAATAACAAAGTAAAACAGATTAAATAAAACCTCAATCAAAATGAAAGCAGAAAATACTGAAAGTTATAACAAATTTAAAATGGATCATAGGGGAGATAAAATGATAAAGTGCTAAATTTTAACCTAACTGCATCTGTGACAATCCACTTTTCCATGCAGGCTACGTGTGAGCAAGGCCATTCGGAACGAGTTCATCCTTGAATATTTCTCTCTTACTCTTTAAAAAAATGAATCAAAAGGGAGATCAAATGAGAAAAATGTTACATTTTAACTTAACTGTGTCTGCCATAATTGACTTTGCAATGATCTCTGTCTGATACCAAGGCTATTCAAATCCTTCATCTATTGATCAGATTCATTGGAGGTTTAATCCATGTGTGGACCGTGTAAATGGACTTGGGGCTTCCACTGGCCTCCATGGTTTTCTGCAAACCAGGTGTTCACTATGTAAGCCATCTTTTGGATTTGGATTTTATTATTTACAATCATTGGATCACACAGGGTGGAAGGCTTCTTCTATGGGGACTTGGTAGATACCTAATAATGCATACCCATTTTTAGGGTTCTGGGAAAATGTCTATTCCATAAGAAAGCCTTCCTTGGCCTGTCAACTACTTTGAGCACCATCTGTGCTCTTCCGCCCACAATTACAAACTTCCTGATGTCAGGGGCTGTCCCAGTCTTGTTCCCCAGTATGTCCTCAGGGCCTAGCACAGTCCTCAGCACACAGTAGATGCCCATTTATGGAATTAAAAGAGTTTGTGGACAGCAAACTCAGTACGCATTACTCAGGACTTTCCCCTCTGCACGGAGCTCAGGTGCCCAGTTGTAGAGATGAAGACAACCATTTCTTGACAAAGCACAACTCGTGGAAAAGAGCCGTGAGAAACACTGGAGCAGGCACTATTGATTAAGTATCTACTGAGTGTCAGACAAGAGGATTGGAGGCCTAGTGGGTTATGCTGTGGTTGCAGACCACAAAGCCAGCAGTTCGAATCCAACAGTCGCTCCACAACAGAAAGATGAGGCTTTCTGCTCCCCTACAGATTTGCAGCCTCAGAAACACACAAGGGCAGTTCTACTCTGTCCTGTAGGATCGCTGTGAGTCGGAATTGCCTTGCTGGCTGGGCGTTTGGTTGTCAGGTTTGGGTTAGTTTGCTTTCTCAGTACCATCCACTATCCTCGGCACTACAGGGGCAGCAAAGATGACTGAACCTGCTCTTTCCTGAAAACCCAACACCAGGTCGGTATTCAAGAGGGACCATGTTTGGACAGCTTCAGCCAAAGGTATCTAGTGACTCATTTGTTAGAAACACCAAGTGTTCCCTTCCTCTGGACTCACACCCCCTGCATAGTGTTTTAGGATAAAAAGGAAGAATTGCACCCTACTAAGAATAAACACTAAAATTACCTGCAAGCAGACTTTTTATGGGCAAGCGACCAGGTGATGGCAAATTGTCTAACAAAGAGGTTAAGATTAGCCCTCGGGGGCTTGAGGACAAGACATCAATTCCAGATAATTTCTGGATTTTCTCATGCTTTTTCCCCCAGCCCTGCTGTGTGCTGGGTACCATTCCATGTGTTGATGCCTATGGCTAATGGGAGGCTGCTCCCAAAAGTTCATGAAAAATGTTATCATCTCTTCATTCTATTTTTCCACAGATGAAGCCCCCTCCTATGACAGATACTTGTGTGTTTTTGTTTTTTACTTTAGTTCATTTTAATTAACACAAAATTAAATAGACATCTGTGGCTAAGGGCGGCCCTGCTCGACGGGGCAGCTCTGTCCTCCCAAGACATTGGTGGCTCCGTGGCAGAGTGACTACATTGCACATGGGAGATCTGGCATCAGTTCTTGGTCAGTGCCTCTCAGGGGCCACCCCCTGCCTCGGTGAGTGTGTGTTGCTCATAAGCCTGAACAGGCTTCAGCAGAACTTCCAGACTCAGAGAACTCAGAAGAGAGACCTGATGATCCACAGTCAACTCTTGTGGCCTTACTCTTGGGGAAGAGTGCTGAGCACCGAGGAGTTCTAAGAACAAATTCTTGCTAAATTCATTTCCTGGCTCAACACAGACAGCAGCACAACACAAAGCCTGGAGCCCTGGGAATCTTAAGTGAATGATGCTCGCCTACCAGGATGGCAGCTGCCGCAGGGCCAGCAGAGCGTGCAGCACAGAGACCATGGGACAGAGCAGTGGGAGTTCTGGCCCACAGAATAGAGCTGAGTGCCTACAGTCCAAAAGCTGCAGAGCCCTTTGGGCAGTTATCATCACTAAAAGAGCTTTGTACCACTTGCCCAAGCAGAACAGAGGCCAAGAACCATGTGGCTGAAAGGCTGGGGACCAGAGAGGAATTGGGTCTGTCCGCCGGGCTGCGAAAAAGCACTGTGGACAAAAGGGCTGGGTCCTTTAAATGTTGTAACCTGTTAACTTCCCTAAGCAACCCCCTATCTGTGAGTATTGTCGATAAGTTCTGTGTGGCCATCACAATTTGCCAAACCCAGCAGAGAAGCAGAGTCCCTCTGGAGGGAAGGTTGGGGTTCTATTCGAGGAAGCAGGCTGGAGGGGGAGGGGGCGGGGCCTCCTTCTTGGGGAATTCGCCTTGGCTGAGGTGGAGTTGGATTCTCTTTCCCTCTTGAGTAGCCAGTAGAGGTCCGATGTGGTGCCCACGCCATTCCTGCAGGTTGCACTGTGGATTCCAGGGAAGGAGCTAATAGCTCCCCTGGTGCAAAAACAAACAAACAAACAGCACTTAGGGCCCAGATAAGGGCAGATTTCAGCCCAGGCCAAGTTCTTACCATCTTCCCAAGGCCTTCCTGCAATTTCCTGGAGTCCACTTCTGGTATCTCAAAAGAGGTTCCCAGTTCCAGGATACACCCAAGTCTGAGGAGGTCAGAGCCCATTGCAATGCAGTAGGCTGGGTGGGAGCAGCCATGTTTCTAAGCGCTAATTAGAAGCATTCACTGAGCTTTCCTGTGAACCCATGAACTTGCCCTTCCCTTCTCTAAGCGTGGGAAACGCCCTCATGGAGATTTTCTCTTTACACTGCTGTAAATGTTGCAAGAGAGGAGCCTGAGCTGAAGAAGCCCCTCCACAGGGGTCCTGCCGCCACAGCTTGGCATCCGGCTCTGCCCACCAGTCCAGGGGGTTCTCCCTCGGGGAACTGCGAGAAGGGGTCACAGAAGCCCTATCAGTCTCAGAGAGAAGCGTCTGTGGGTTCTGGGAGGCAGAAAGCGGAAGAGATAAGGGACGAGAGCCTGTTAAAGAATGCTCTTCAGTGTCTCCCAAGGCCCCAGCATAACCCAAATAGGGACTTTGAAACAGATGAAGGTCAAGTTGCAAGATAGGAGTGGGGGTTGCAAGATAGGAGTGGAAGGGAGAGGATTGGCAAAGTCCAGTGGTTGTGTTAAGTTGTCTCCACATTAGGCTCTCAGTGAGTTTCAAAGGGAGCTTGGGAGAGGCCCTGAATAGCTTCCTTCAGGGTGAGGTAGGCATAGAGTGGGAAGGCACCTGGATACCCAAGCCCATTACAGATGGCCCACCAAGGTGACATCGGTCCTTAATCAGATGAGGAGGTCGAAGTGTTTGGGGTTAATATTCTATGTTGTGTCATCGACAGTAGAATCCAGTCCCACTTCCTATGCCCATACCTCGCCCACCTGTCCAGCACCAACAGATTAATTGGCATAATTCAAAAAACACCCCCAAGCTCTTTAAAGCCCTGTCAGGAAAAAGATAGCCCTTCCCTCTCCTCTGAGGTCAGCCCTTTCTTCCTCTCCTCTGAGCCTTCAGTCAGGTCCCTTCTCACCACCCCTCCCTCCCCCTCTTCCTCACTGACGCTGCCTCCCCCTCCACCCCATGCAGGTGACTTCTGCTTCCCTCTATGGGAGTCACCGGTGATCGTGCACTTGTGAAACTTAGCGATGAATCAGGAATACCGAAGAAGAACCGATGTGTCTGAATGGTGGTGCTGGCAAAGAATATTGACAATACCATGGCTTGCTGAAAGGGCAAGTAAACCTGTCTTGGGAGAAGTACAACCGCGTGCCCCTTAGAGGCAAGGATGGCAAGACTTCATTTGGACCTGTTCTTAGGAGAGATCAGTCCCCAGAGAAGGACATCATCGGGCTTGGTATAGTGGAGGGGCATCCAAAAAAAAAAAAGAGGAAGCCCCTCAAGGAGATGGATTGACACAGTGGCTGTAACAATGGGCTGAAGCGCAAGAACCGTTGTGACGATGGCACAGGAGCGTGCAGGTTTCCTTCTGTTGTCACCGTGGGTCAGAACTGACTAGATGGCACCTCATAACACTCCCCACAACAAACTAAACGGAGACGACGGGGGACTTACTTCACGCAGTCTCTGGGTGACTCCTCTTTGGCTTCTGAAGGCAGTGGTCCTCTCACTTTCTCTGCCCCCCTTCTTTTTCTTACGCATGAAGACGTCAAGGGCCCTTCAGCCTGCACTACCCTTGGGAGCTCATCCTGAACCTCTGCTCCCCTCTGCTGGACCTAGACACTTGTCCTGTACGATGATGCAGGACCACGCCATGCTCTCCCCCCAGCCCTCACCCTCCACCTACCCCAGATGCTTAGCTTCCTGGCTTTCACTTCCAAATCTTCATCCCTGACCCAAATCTACATTCTGAGTCCGTTTCTCCCGCTTCCTCCTTGAAAGCACAGCCCAGCTTATTAACCAAAAAAGCCAGTTTCTAGTGAGACACAGATTTGCATTTTCCCCTTTCCATTCAAGTAAGATACATAGGCCACATGGTCTGGGGAAGATGGTGACAGTATTGGTCCTGGCTTACCAGCATATGCCATCCTCTGGGCCACAGGGTTTGGTATGGAGGCAGGCAAGACGTGGTACGGCTTGAACCAGAGCAAGAGAAGAGGGTTTGTTTTCTAAGGGGAAAGGCCTGCTTCATCTACCGTGATCAACTCCTTGGCCAGCGCCTCTCTCCTGACAGAGGTAAATATGGCCGCACCAGCGTGCCTGTTCCCAGGACATTCTTGTCACCTCCGTCATGCAACCATGAGAAGTCAACCTTAGGATGAGACAGACACTATTGTGAGAGAGAAAACAGCATCTTTGACGGCACCATCCAACTTCTGGAACAAGTCTTTCCTGAAGGCCACTTCACCCCTGGGCTTGTCAAGAAATTCCGTTTCTATTTTAAGATGCTTGAAATGGATTTCCTATTTGTTGGAATAAACAGCAGCCCAGATGGCATATTTTGTAGCAACTCCCCCAAACTCATGGCTATTGAGTCAATTCTGATGCATAGTTACCCTTTAAAGGGTGTCTGGGGCCGTAAATCTGTATGGGAGCAGACAGCCCCACCTTTCTCCCAAAGAGCTGCTGCTGGTGGGTTGGAACCGCCAACCTTTGTGTAGCAATTCAAGGCTTACTCAGCACTACCAGGGCTCCTTATTACTATAATAAGTTCTATTATTATTATTTTACTATGTTAATATTACTATATTATTAGTATTATAATAATAACAGCTCTCAATAAATACCTGTTGAATAGAACTGGATCCCTAAAAATATATTAATTATGCATTGGCCTTCGGGTAATATAATATCTCAATCCAGCTGAACCACACATATCTAAGAAAGCATTTTAGCTCTGACTCAAATGACGAGACTACATATTTTAGACCTTTCCAAGAATAGTAGGGCATTGTGAAGAGTGTCAAGTCACACCAGGGAGACGGCTAACCACTGACTACATATGAGCCGGGCCCCTTTGCTATTTCAATTTCCTTGCTTCTAAAAGCAGGTGATAAGACTTGCACTGTCTTCCGCTGCCCTTAGGTCATGAAAAACTTGGGAAATCGGAGGCGAGGCTTTGTGTTTTCACGGCAAGCACAGATGCTATCTGGGCAAAGCTGACTTTAGTGATAATCTCCTCCTCATCTTTGCAGGGCCAATTTCTTACCCAGTAGCTTGTGAAAAGAAGCCTTGGGTTTGGCTTCGGACATTTTGCAAGCTTCTGTCGAGGGGTCCAAAGCACACGTCAATCTTTCCTTCAGCTCATTAAACCCACCGAAAACTTTTCAAGCTATGATAAAAATCTATAAGACTGCATTAGAGACTTTCATATAGACTGGTACATCACAACCGACTTCTTAGGTTCGTTGCAAGTAATTTGTTAGTCTCAACTGTCAAAGTACCATGTTGAGTACAGAGAACATGTGCGATTTGCCCAGTGAGTATCCATTCTCCTATGGCAGCAGCGCTTCCGTCTTCCTTTTGGGAGCATCTGACACACACTCTGAGTGCATATGGTTCCAATGAGGATGCTAACTCCACATTTTCCTCCTCCCAGGCCCCCTGTGGGGGGGCTGAGAGAGAGAAGGGGGGGGGAAGGAATACAGTTTTAAACAATTGGCATATCCCACTGACCTGCACGCAGTGGTTGATGTTCAGGGCCCAGGGGCAGTGATTCCAGATTAATCTGATGAGTCTTAATCCCAAAATGTTTTCTGGAACTGCTCATAAAGGAGGATGCTTCTTACACGGAGGATGCTAGATTTAAAGATATAAGCTGTCAGCAGCTATTTGTCCCTTATGAAGAGACACTGTCTGAAAACGATGCCAAGACCAAAGGCAGACCAAGAGACCATTACGTACCAAAGTCCCAATGACGCCATTCAAGCCCCAGGATGCAGCCGGCACCGGGGCCTGGGCATTCTGTTACTGCACAAGCCAATGAATCTCACCTTAGCTCTGGTCCATTTGAGCAAGGTTTTTATTTCGAAGAATAATCTTGAGTTTGCATTTTTTGGTAAAATCAAATCAAAGCAAGATGACACCACATGCCTCACTTCTTTGCATTCTCCCGTGCTTTCCTGAGTGGGAGAGGGTGGGGTGGAGGACGGGCCAACACCAGCGATGCCCTGCAGCCCAAAGGAGAGACTATCAGTTAGTGTGTCTTCTTTGTGACCACGCCTGCCATCCCAAGATAAAGACCAAAATCCTCTTTCCTCTGTTATTCCTTCTGTGCCTTCTAGCAGTAAAACTTCCAGACTCTGCAAATGGCTTTTATCAGCACCACACATCTCTAACTCGTGGCTTTTATGTTTCCCAAGGCACTTTCACAAGCACATTTGCATTTGCACAGCCCTAAGCAGACAACAGCGATGAGGATACCGCTTGACTGGTGGGAAAACTCAACCTGAGAAAGGTGAAGGGAGGCGCGCCGCCACAGGGCAGGAGAAAGCCGGGTCTGCTCATACTAGCCGGCTCCTTTCCTTCTCCCGAGAGGGCAAGATGAAGTCATAAATAGGAAAGCACTTTGGAAATTAAGAGACTCGATTGATGCCAGATGTATTATTATAAAGCCCAAGCTAAGTACAGGGCGACCTTGTTATCAACCCCCAGAGGTGAGGATGCTTACAGATCGGGCCTGTTTAATCTCCTGGTGACCTGGGGAGCATATCTGGGGCTTTTCTCGGCAGGGTTAAGGCTCGCGTGTTCCTGACATGCCTCTCTCCCAAGGGGATCCATCAGGAAGAAAAGAGTGACGGCCCTTCATTCTTGGAAACTATCACCCAACTCAAAAAAAAAAGAAAAGAAAATATCACCCAACTCAGGGCAGTCCAGACGTCAGAGGGTAATGGCGTCAATGTCAGGATTCAAAATTTATAGATAGTGAGGACATGTGTGAAGGTTTGTTTAGGGAAATGGATTCATCATGTGCGCGACATACGACAGCAGATAAAACACCCTGACAACATTACACGCTTGGGGAGGGCGTGTGTGCAAGAGCCCATTCTTTTGAAAGCATACTGTTATGACACTTTAAAAATTCCAGAATGAACGCTGAGCAGACCCAGAGTCTAATGGGATACCGGCACATGCAGCTGTACAGGACCATGAAGAATTATCCATTCTGCATCACAAACTGCAGTGTTTTTCTTCTTCCTCTCAAATCCTTGGTGTTCAGGACAGGAGCACAGGAAGCAAATCTGGGTTGGTTTAGAAGAGTGTAATACAAAAGTCACCGTAAACGCTCACTTTTTGTTTAACGTTGAAAACCATTCAAATACGCTAAAGTTTAAATATGTTTAAAACAGCAAATTTTTCAACCTGAGGGTCCAGGGCACTATAAACTCTTCTCTTGCACTGACCAACACACATCCTTTGCCAGAATAAATCGTGCATCGTGAGATTTGTTTGTTTGACTTCTATGTATACAAAATTTTACAAATTGCAATGTCCCTGGATGACCAAACCTACTCTCAGAAAGAGAATGGTAGATTTGTTACAAGTAATTTGATGAGCTTTATGAGGTCAAGGACATCATCCACCTGGACATGATTACTTAAAAACAGATGAATGATTTTTAAAACAAAAACATCTCCTAAGGAATGTTAGTTTGCCAAATGTACTTCTTTTATTGTACCTGGGGAGGCATGCGCGTTTTGGGTCAGAGCAGAATTGCTCATGATAACGAGAGAGAGGCTGAGCGCGGTCCTCCGCCTTGGCTTCTCCCCATCCCTTGCACTCAGGTTTCTGACTTCATCCAACCATCAATTGAAAAAGACATCTAATTAGTCACCTTCCAGGGTGCCAAAGTGTTAGTCTGCCTATAGTATCCAAGGGAATTTTTCCAGCCCTTGTTAGAACTAAAGAGAGGAGGGGAAGCCTGAGGAGGAGTGAAGGGTGGAAAGTGTGGAGATCCATTGAGTCTAGGTAAAATGGAGGGTCAGCAAAACTCACCGTGGTGGGGTCGCTTCAGAATGGTGACAACTATATACCTGCTCTTTTATGTGAACTTTGTCCTGCTGTGCTAATAAGATCTTCCTCTCTTGCTTCCGCACTATTTCCTCAGTATAATCTCTCACGGTCATAAGTAATTTGTGAATGAGAGGTGAGTTTGTGTGTGTGAGCATATGTAATTCAAGAAAGGCCCTGAGCTTCCTATTTGGGTGCCATGGACTAAAGGAAGACCAACACAAGCTGAAGAAATCCACTGGGGAAGGAATCTATAAGAACAGAAGCTCCATCAGGAATTCAGAGATGTTTGGGAACAGTGGTTACGTGTTGGGCTGCTAACTGCAAGATCAGCAGTTCAAAACCACAAGCCGCTCCATGGGAGAAAGATAGGGCTTTTTTTTATTCCTGCAAAGAGTTAGTCTCAGAAGCCCACAGGGGCAGAACTACCTTGTCCTATAAGGTCATGACTGGATAGCAGCAAGTGGTAGTGTTTGTTTTCGTGGAATATCCCTAGGGCAAAGAGCTGGGAGTTTGTTTCAATTTCACTAGCTCCTAAAGGAAAGGGAAGTCCCAGCTAACCTCTAGGCTACATACAGAGAAGTAAAGAAACACAATCTGCAGAGACAGAAAGGGTTGAGCAGACAGAAAGACATGTTCCTTCTTTTTACTAAGTCAGCTAAGCTGTGGCAATAAGCACACAGGTTTTACTATTGTTCAAAAACAAGAGGAGTTTATTTCTCATTCATCCACTGTCTGAAGGAGATATTCTTGGTCTGCAGGTATCTCTACTCCATGAGATGACTCAGAAACCCAGGGTCCTTCCATCTGTGGCCACATTATCCCCAGGGTCGAGGGCTTCATTACTGACTCTATCTCACCAGCAGCAAAGGAAACAGGAATCAGGAGAGGACATAGCAACGGCTTACTCTTCCAGGGTCCTACATCACTTTCACTCATTCTGTTGGCTAGAACCACTGGTATGGTCACACCTGAATGTATGTGCAGCCTACAAAGTATTGTCTAGCCATGTGTTCAGGAAGAAGACAAAATCGATTCCTAGTAAACAGCTGCCAAGTATCTTAGTCTGTCCTTGTGGACACTACGCCTCCATGTGCAACCTGTTAACCACAAGGTCTGCAGTTCAAACCTACCAACCACTCTGCAGGAGAAAGATGAGGCTGTCTACTTCTGTCAAGAGTCAAAAATCTCAGAAATCCAAAGAGGCAGTCCTACCCTGGTCTACAGAGTCACTGTGAGTCAGAATGGACTCGTTGGCAATGAGTTTATTTCCCACATAGAAAGGAGTCGTGGTGACATAGTGGGCTTTGCCCTGAGCTGCTCACCACAAAATCAGTGGTTCAAAGGCACCAGCAGCTCTAAGAAAGGAAGAAGAGGCTGTCTGCACCTGTGAAGAGTTACATTCTGTTTACAGGAGCAGGTCTACTCTGTCCTATAGGGCTGCTATGAGTCATCATTGACTCGATGGCAGTGAGTTTTCCCACAGAGAGGTTATTCCCATGTGGGCCTCGAGGAAGGTCGCCCTGAGCCTCATGCTGCTCTCTCCAAGTCCAGGACTCTTGAGGATACATGTCTTCTCAATCCTCAGGGTCCAGTAACCTATTAAGTAAAAGGCCAGCTATCCACGCCTCGAACACCCATCATGTACCACGGAGGTACTTGCTTAAGTGCCATCAAAGTCCCATTCATAAAAGAAAGAACGAGGAATACGCAGCAGTTCTTATTTACAGCAGAGATGGAATTCTGCTGGCTGAGCAGGGTGAAGATCCTCTGCCTCCTGGGGTGTGGGGAGATTCCTTCCTTAGCCTTTCATCGGCTTCCTGGAAGGAACTCCTTGTCCATTATTCTCTGGGGCTCCTTAAACTGCCCTCTAAGATTTCCTTCCTTGCCCAACACTGTCCTTTGTGACCACATCCAAAGTGCCCTTCTTGTAGACAACCTTCAAAAAAGCCAACTTCCTGCTCATGCAAATTTAGATCCCAAAGGTAAGGCTTGACCAATCAAAGATTATTTCACGCAAGCTTGTGATTTCCTGATAAACCAAAAATTCACAAGCTCCTCGTTTATTTGCTTCCAATTAATTCCAAGTGCCAGACACCACACCCAGAGCTCTTTCCTAGGCATCGTTCTAAAGCATAAAGCGTTTGTCTCCCTGGCTTTCCCTCAGCCACCTTGAGGCCGTCAGAACAATAGGCCTGTGGGGAGAGGCTACACTCTTAATCTGATCTTTCTTGCAAGTTTGAGCTCCTATATTTAACTAAGAGTTCTTACTGGGTCTTTGTCCTCTCAAAGCTGTGTGTGTGTGTGTGTGTGTGTGTGTGTGTGTTTCCTTTCTTCTCTCTCTCTTGACAATCTTCTTTCTTACTGTTTGGAGTCTAGAATAAATAAGCTTTCCCAAATTTTGTGATTCTCTTCATTCCTTTTTTATTTCCGTTCAACAAGCTAATCAACTCTTGCAAGAAACCAGATTTCTCTTGTAACACATGCTACAAGAACCTCAACTCGAACACACACGAACACCCTGCCTCTTTTTCATAACTTTACCTTGAGCTACAGGCTTGATAGCCACTCGACCTTCCTTCCAAAAGAAACAGTTTTAACAGATATTTTGCCATTCCAGAATGTGAATTGCCATTTTTACAGCCCATTCCTGTTTCCTTCCCTGAAGCCCTGGTGGCGTCGTGTCGTGTTCACTTTACTGGGCTGCTAACGGAAAGGCCAGCAGTTCGCCATCACCAGCCAGCCCCCAGGACAAGGAGAAGGGTTTCTACGCCTGAAAAGAGTTACAGTCTCGGACACCCACAGGGCCAGTGTAACCCTGGCCCATAGGGTCACCGTGAGTCAGAAATGGACTCAAGGCCAATGAGTGCTCGTTTCCGACTGCACAACAAGCAAACAAGGGCTGCATGTTGTAGGTATTTATTACATAGCCTTTCCCCTTCTGAAGCCAATTTCTGTATTAGGGAACTAGCTAAACTACAAAAACAAAAAGATCCCAAGTGTCGAATAATCAAATACAATAGAAATTCATTTCCCATTCCCATACTGGTTGAGGCAGATGCCCCAAGGCCAGACTTCTTTCTTGTGTGGCTCCTGGACGTCCTGCAGCTTCAGCATCTGCATCCAGCCACAGAAGGTAAACAGGGCGGGGAGAGGCATAGTGCTAGTACTTGCCATCAAGCTGGTTCCGATGCCAACTCCCAGCAAACCCAGGTGTCCCGAGTAGAACTGTGCTCCATAGGCGCTTCACGGCGGGGACCTTTCGGAAGCAGTCTGTGTTCCAAGGGGTTTCTGGGGAGGTTGAACCCACTAGTCGTTAAGCACTTACCCACTGGTGCTATTGAGGGACTCCTGTGAAAAAGAAAGGTGTTTACTGAGAGTTTTGACCCGAAATGGTCTGCCTTCTTTCGCTGACGTTACACTGGCTAGAACTCGGTGGCCTGGCCTTACTGAGTTACAAGAGAAACTGGGAGATCAAGCCAGGCTTGGCAGCCATTTTCCAACAATGCTATCATACCAGAGACTGGCCAACTATGAAAACCTCCAAAACCAAATTCACTCCCATCAGGTTGATTCTGATTCATAGCAGACCCTATCAGAGTATTATTGCTCCTGTGGGTCTCTGAGATTGTCGATATTTAGGGAAATAACGGAAAGCCTAATCTTTCTCCAGCCAACTAGGAAGTCCAGACCACATCTAGCCCATGGTCTGGTTCTATAATTAAGGTTTTACTGCGACACTACCATGCCCATTCACTTACATATTATCTTTTGTAGTAAAGTAGCAGAGCCAAGAAGTTGCCAAGACCGTAGGACCTGCAAAGCCCCAAGTATTTGCTATTTGATAGAATTCCAGAAAAGGTGTCATCGTCCCACACCGCACCCCTCCCCCAGCTTTGTGCTGTGGAGGCGACAACTCTCTCTGCCATCTTGTCACCACAAGGGGGAGTCTGCACTGTTGGGACCACCCCATGGAGGCGGAACATGAAGCCAATCAAACAGAAGGCAGAGCCTAAAGATGGAGAGAAACCGAGTCTTTGTGACCTCATTTGAGCCAGGAAGCCAGTCCATCCCGAAGCCAACCTACCCTTTGACTTGTGTAGTTAGCTGATGCAAGACATTTCTTTCTTCCCCTAAACTTATTTGTACTGGGCGTTCTGTCCTAACAAAAGTGCCCTGATGCCCTCTCCCATTCTAGCAAGAGCAGGCAGGTAAGGGAAAAAGTGTACTTGTACTTGACGCAGTCTATGCATAGAGGTGACCTTTGGGTCAGACTTAGCCCACTGAGGAGACAGACTCTGAATGTGGACAGTGTAACCAACACGTGACACTTCCCCAACTGAACTCTGCGTTCTCCGGAGACACGAGTGGCTGGGACCTTCCCCTGATATTCTCTGTTTAAGTTGATCAAATTTCTCAAAGCCGGTGAACGTGAAAGGAAGGACCGCTGCTTACTGATCGCCGGGCCCAGGGAGAGCTTGGGTAAAACCTGGCCAAGAAACAAAGGCCACGCTTTTCAGGCCTGCCTGTCCTGGAAAGGCCCTGTGTCATCTCACACAATGAACCCTAATATGCTGTCTCTCTTCCAGGCTGAGCCCTGGTGCTCTCCGCAGGGGCCTTGGCAGGAGTGTGGAGGGCTTGGCGAAGGGCAGGGGCCTTTGTGCCCTCAGCCGCCCCCACCTGAGAAGTTATTTATTACAGACGGAGGTGGTGGCGTTAAATAATGCACAGTTGGCCTGGGTCCCCTGGAGTACAGTGGATAGCAAAATAGCTAAATGCCTTAAACACACTGCAAACGGAGAAGCCAGAGAGAGTAGGCCCTTCAGACCCTGACAACTGAGTAATGCATTGAAGTCATAATGTGCCCTTGACTTCCTGTGAGGTACCCCTTCTGCAGGCAAACACTTGTTAGATGATAAGAGTCTCCTTGAGTAGGGTCCCTAAATAGCCAAGTCTGTGTTTCTCTTAATTCTTGGATTTGGCCAAGCAGCCTCCTTCTAAGGATCTCAAAGAGCTTTGCAAACATTTTCTATGAAGCTGCTTCACACACACACACACACACACACACACACACACGCACACGCACACGCAGATGCACACACACACACACACACACACACACTATACTCGCTTTTAAAAATCTCTCTGGTGACTAAATAAAAGGTGATTATACACACTCCCTTTTAATTAACAAACACGCCCTTCTATAAGCACTTGTCTCCTGTGACATGAATAAGAAATACAACACCCAGGAGACCGAAATGCAGCCAGCTCTTTTTTAACCCTTTGTAAAAGCTTGGGAACGCTGTAAAGAATGTGGTCTCCCAGCAAAAGCAGGGAGGGCAAAGTGTCCTGTGCACCACTGGACACCAAAAGGTGGGAAAAGTGGACAGTGGCGCATGTACCGAGGTGAGCTCCTTCATAACTGGGAACATCCCTTTGGGTCCATCTGTGGGATCTCAGGATTGGAGAGGGATGAGAGAAAGTTGTTCTGTTTTGTTTTGTTTTGCTTTCAGGGAAATAAACAGTCACTGAGGCCCAAATCAAAGTTTAAAGCACGGTCATCCAGGAGGGAAACATAAGGTCAAAACTGAAAAGGGAGAGCAGAGGGTGAGGCACGATCTTGTGCAGGAAAATAAGCCAGAAACGGAGAAGGTCAGGTCAAGAGATGAAGGACAAGGTGCGTCAGGGCCAATAATACTTCAGGACCAAGTCTGCAATTAACCCAAGAGGCACAGCAGTCCACGTTGCTATTTATTTCCTGGTGCTGTTGTTATGTCCTTATTCTGACTCAGACCGACCCTCCATGAGAGCAATAGAAAACTTCCCCACAGAGTAGCCTAAGCTATGATCTTTACAGGGACGGTCACAGGGCCATTTCTCCCACGCAGCTACTGGACAGTTCAAACCACCGAGCTATCCAAGTTCACAGCCGTCTGCCAATCGTTGTGCCATCAGATGCCTTCCAGTTCAAAATAGTGGTGTTTAAAGGTGCCCAAGAAAAATCAGACGTTTACCAAGTTCTTTATGTCAAAGATTGTTTAGTGGAAGAATTTAAGAACTAAACAATGTTTTAGTTTTTTTTGGTTGTTATTTTTAAGACTCTTGGGTCCCCTGAAAAAGATGCAGGAGGAAAAACAACCCCATCTTAAAATGGGCGATGAATTTGAACAGACATCTCGACAAAGAAGATCCACAGGTGGCATAGGAGCCTATGCAAAGATGCTCACCATCCTATGGCATTAAGGAACTGCCCATTAAAATCATAATAAAGTGCCACCACGCACCTATTTGAATGGCTAAAATCCCAAACCCTGATACCCCCAAATGATGTGAGGGTGGGGAGCAACAGGGATGCTCATCCACTGCTGGTGGGAAATGCAAAAATGATTCAGCCACAGCTTCTGACAAAGCTAGACATAGGCTTACCATAGAATTTAATCAGCTGTGTGCCCAGGTGTTTACCCCAATAAACTGGCAACCTTTATTCACACAAAATTGGGTATAAACAAGTTGGCAGCAGCTGTATTTATAATTTCCCAAATCTGGAAGCAGCCAAGACATTCTCCAATAGAGGAATGAGTAAACAAACTGAGATACACCCATACAATGGAGTATTATTTCACCATTAAAAAAATGTTATTAACAAACCTTCCTCCGGTCTTGATGCCTCATTCATGTAGATCAGCTTCTTGGATTCACTGGGCAGCATGCAGGTTGAGCAAAGTTGGTGACAGGAAACAACTCTGCTACACACCTTTCCAGATGTTACACGAGGCGGTACCCCCTTGTTCTGTTTGAATGACTGTCTCTTGGTCCATGTACAGGTCCTACATGAGCAAAATTAATTGTTCTGGAATTCTCATTCTTCACAATGTTATCCATATTTTGTTATGATTTGCGCAGTCGAATGCCTTTGCATGGTCAACGAAACACAAGTAAACATCTTTCTTGTGTTCTCAGCTTTCAGCCAAAAACCATCTGACACCAGCCATGATGGCCCTTTTCCCACATCCTTCTTGATCTGGTTAGAATTTCTAACAGCTCCCTCATGATGTACGGCTACATCACTTTTGAATTATCTTCAGCAAAAGTTTACTCGCATATGAGGTTGTTCAATAAAGTGCTAACTCTTTTGGATCACTTTTCTTTGGACTGCCCACGAATATAGATTTCTTCCTGGCATGATGCCATGCATTCGCCAAAACCCCCAGATCTGTACAACACAAAGAGGGAAACCTCATGTAAACTATGAACCTTAATTAATAATACCCCAAAACCCACGGCCAGCCAGTCGATGGCCACTCGGAGCACTCCGATATAGGGTTCGCAAGGCTGCACATCCTCATCGGAGCAGATGGTCTCACCTTTCTTCTGAGGAGTGGAAGAGCAGGCCTTGCAGCTCGATGCGATGCGTACTTGATAGCGCTCCCAGGGTTCCTTGGTTAATAATAGTCTTATCAATACTGGTCCACCAACTGGACCAATGCAAGGATGCAAGAATGTCAAGAACAGGAGAGACTGGGCCAAGGGCAGAGGAGGCGCTTGGGAACTCGATGTACTTTTTGTGCAATTTTTATGTAACCATCACACTTCTTTAAAACATTATTAAAAATTAAAATGAAGGGAGGCAGAACTAGGGTGAAGACTTGGTTCTCCTAACTCCCAGTCTAATCTTTGTTCTCAGATTTTGGAGTGAGGCATTCTAAGCCCCAGTGCACTGAGCCTCACATTATTTCTTTTTCCTTTTCTTCTAAATCAAACTTGATTAGATGTAAAAACAGCCATATGCCTTTAAATTAGTGTCAGCTTGATCAAATTCTAAGCATTCAAACATGTCTTTCTGCAATAACCTTGGGAGGATGTTGGGGAGAGCAGAAGGCCGAGATGAGAGAACACGAGAACTTGCAGAGTGGGAAGCATAAGTGGACTTGGAGCCTTGCCCTTATGTGTGTTCTGTCTGAGTTGTCCACGTCTGACCAGCAATGACTTTCGGAGTTCTTATTTGTACCTGTGTTCATCTACCTGCACAACTGAGTTCCGTCAAAATAAGCTTGCAAATCAAAAGAGAGTTGTTTACTCTTCCAGTGGGCCAAAAATGGCCAAATCAGCTTGTTTCTGACTTTTTTGTGTGTGAATGAAATAACAAAGCTTGCTGTGTGGAGCCATCTGGCCCGTGCACAGCATGGATTGTTTACACGGAGCCCAGCCTGGCATCCCTCTGGGGGCAGAATGCTCCTATGGATTCCTGGGGGTGGGGGGTGGGGCAGGAAGTGCTTAGAGCAACAACAGCAAACAGGCAAACAAACAAACACCATCTACAAGAGCATCATGAACACCAAACCTCTTCCCACAAACAGAACAGTTACCCAAGGAGCCAGGCACTTTTCTGTGGGAACCAGCGTGTCCTTGAAAGAATCCCCCAGAGACAAGGCCCAGCCAGAGGAGCTGTTACCTCCTTCCTAATTCATTTGACTTCTACTCCCCTAAAGGGACAGTTGGCATGTCAGGTGGGCCTCCATGTTCTGCTGTTTCCATACCCCAGCGCAGCCAACACAACCGTGAAAGACTCCACTGAGGAGGGCTTGCCCTTTGCGTGTGCATGCGGATCAATGCTAATAGCTAATTGAGTGCCTGTCACAAGCCAAGGGCTGTCCTGAGCATTTTATCTTATTTTTCAACAGTTTTTAGTGGCACTTCACCATCTATCATACCATTCAATAATGCATATCAAGATGAGTTATGCAATCCTTACCGCAGTTCATTTTAGAACGTTTTCTCCTTCCTTGTACTCACTGTTAGCCATTTTACATGCATCGACTCACAGAGTCCCCACAACAGCCCAAAGAAGTGGGTGTCGTGATTATTCTCATTGTTCACATGAGTTGATGAAATGGGAAGAGGTTAAGTTAGAGAAAGATGAAGTTCTTAAGGCCCATCGTACTTCGTCAATTCTAGGACAAACTTTTGTCACTTCTTAACAATCCTGAAATTGTTAACATCTTTTCTCCCGCGGTTTCAAACTCCGGATTTGGAGATCACAGCCCAGTTGTGTAACCACTATGCCAGCAGAGCTCCTATCTGGTTTTAATGTGAATAAAAAAGTCAAGACTCGAAGCCACTTTCTCAGATTCTTTTTCTTTCTTCCTTTTTCTTCATTGTAGCCTCGGTATTTTTTAATGAGCACAAAGGCCTCGTTCTGATTTCCTTCTTCTTACGCCTCCCAGGAATTCTGACTTGTTGGCCCTAACCCTGCAGACAGAGCGGGAGTTTCGGCTCTGAAGCACACACCAAACTTTTCTGTGGACAGATGTGTATGGGAGTGAATTGCACCTTTTTCCTTTATCGTCTCAAGCCTAACCATAGTCACACACCCCGAGCTTCAAAAAGGACAGAGAGAGTGGGCAAGGTTTAAGCATTGAGAAGGAAGAGTTAAGTGTTCTGGCTGGGTGTGCCGTTTGGCTTTTGTGTCTTGTTTTGTGTTTTGCGTTGGTAGGGAGGCAATTCCTACGAAAAAGAACAAAAGAGAAGAAAACTTGTCATTGAAACCAATTTATTATTCCTGGTTTTCCTATCAACAGCACAGTGATTATGTTGCCCAGGGAACCATGGGAGTTTCTGGAGAATTAATTACCTCATTCCAAGCTAAAGGGTCACTACACTTTCTCTTTGCACGAACCTGTTTTCATATGAAACAAAGGCCAGTCCTCACCGCTCACCTGAGTCTCTCTCGAGTCTGAAACCTGAGCCTGTGCTCATTCCTGGGACCTCTCGCTTCCTGCTGCAAACCATATGTTAGGTTTTCACGGGAAAGCCCTGCAGTTACAATTGGGGAGAGCAGGGAAGGAAAGATGAGGTCACAGGTCCCTGCAGAAGGCATCACAGCCTGAACCCAAAGCTGCTGGAAAGAACATGTTCCAACAAATTAGACGGATTGTTTTCATGGCCCTTCAACTTCAAAAGTTTGCTCCTCGCAGTTCAAAGTGCTTTTCCCTCCATTCTGTGCCGTAAGTGGCCTCCTGCTAGACAGCTGCAAAAGCTAATGGCTGGCCTGCCTGCCCTGGTCTGTAATCTGCCTGGATTTTGTTCCTTGCTGCCAGAAGTTCTTTTAATTAGATGCATTTTCACACCCCTGCCCCTTCTTTCTTGGGTGGAGTACTAAATAGAGTAGGCCTGCAGGGAGGTGGACTCAGAGTAACATCTCTTGGGGGACACTGGTAGGGCTGAGCCCCCATCTAGGATCATCTGAACAAGAGCAGTAGGAATTTTGCCCTCCCCGGACTGGAGGATGAGGATGAAGGCTTGTCCACATGCCCCACCCTCAGCAGGCAGGCCCGTGTGACTATGAGAATTCCAGTTAACAATCTGAGTCAGAAAAAAAAAGCTATGCCCCAGGGATGAGAACAGAGCCATGGTTTCTGAAGTAGAGGACAACAGCAGTATTTCCTTACCAATGACTGGCAGGAGGTGGAAGTGGAAGAGAAGAAAATGGGACTTGAAATCTGGCAGACCTAAGTTTGAACCCTGTGTGATTAGCAGTCAATTACCTAACCTCCTTAAACCCCTGTTTCCTCCTCCATAAAACAAGAATCACAATTTAAAAATAGGATTATTATAAGAATCGAAGAGTCCCTGATGGCAAAATCACTGGATAGCACCAGCAGGTAAGCACTCAGCTACTAACCAAAAGGCTGGTGGTTCAAATTCACCCACAAGGTGCCTCAGAAGTAGTCTGATGATCTATTTCAGGACAAAAATAGACCATTGAAAAGCCTGTGGAGCACAGTTCTGTTCTAGCACCCACTGTGTTAGTCTGGTGGACTAAAGAAACAAATCCAGAGGGACTCATATGTATGCAAAAGAGAACATATCAAAGAGCAATTTTACGTTAAGAAAACATCCCAGCCCAACCCAGATCAAGTCCATAAGTCTGATATTAGCCCATATGTCGATACTAGTTCATACATTCTGTTTTAGACTCATGCAGCCATGCAATGACACCGAATGCAGGAAGACCACAGGCCAGTGGGTGGAAAGTTTGGTGGATCCAGTGGTGGTGGAGGCATCTCAGCAACTGCCGTAGGTCGCCACGTGACTCCTCCAGTTCCAGGGCTCTGACTCCATCAGCATGTAGCTCCACGTAGCTTGTCAGCAGGAATACAAAGCAGAGAGTCTGTGTGTATCTGGCCTCCAGTGAGCTATTTATCTCTGTGGCGCCACCAAATGAAGTCATTAAGCTATGATTTGATTGCCAGACTAGACTCCACCCCTTCACAAGTTGACACCAGATTATGTAACTACCACACGCACACACTGTTGCCATGAGTCAGAAATTGATTTGAAGGCAAATTTAAGCAACACACACACACACACACACACACACACACACAAACCGGGGTACCCCCCCACCCCGCCAAAAAAAAACAGAATCACGCTGGATGGAGTGGAGCTTTAATAGTACACTATTAAATCCCTGCTAGGCAAGGATCTAGCAACTCCCTCGGAGTTAGTGCATCCAGTGGCATCACTGGTCACAGCGAATTTTTTCATAAAGGCAGTTTCACTCAAACTTCGTCTTTTTGTGTGTGATGGCCAGTTTTAGAGGACAGCATGCAGTTGTGAAATTTTGTTTCTTGCTCGGGAAAAAATGCCACAGAAATGGTTGTGACGTTTAAAACAGCTTACAAGGACAGTGCTATGGAAAAAGCTCAAGTGTACCAGTGAGTTGCTCATTTCAAAAAGGTGACATGTCGACTGATGACAAACCTCGTTCTGGATGTCCATCAACATCCTGAATGGACGAAATGTCGACTTGTAGTGCATTTGGAGTTCATTCAGGTCAGACCAGTAATCAACTTTCTATTTAGAGGTTCTGAAAAGATTTTGCAACAGTGTGCAACAAAAAAAGGCCTGATTTGTGGTAGTCAGGGGACTGATTTTGCCACCACAACAATGTGCCTTCTCACGCAGACATTTCAGTGTGCCAGTTTTTGGCAAAAATCAGCATGCCTCTCTTGCCCCGCTCAACTTACTCACCTGACCTCGCTCTGTGTTACTTCTTTTTGTTTCTACAAGTGAAGAGGAACCTGAAAGGACAGCAATTTGACGACACAGAAGAGGTGAAGAAAAAACGAGGGAGGTGCTATCAGCCATCCAAGCAGATGAGTTTGAGAAACGTTTCCAATAATGGAATCGCAGATTTGACAAATGTATTAAGTGTAATGGAGAGTACTTTGAAGGTGATAAGGTAGTTTTGTTAAAAAAAAAACAAAAACTTAAATAGATAGCTTTTAAAATTCCGGAGTTTTGGGGTATCCCTCATATGTGTGTGTGTGTGTGTGTGTGTGTGTATACTGGAAGAAGAATGGAATCATATAAAAAATGTAGCGTCTGGTCATAAAGGCACTGAGTAAATGCTCCGCATTCGCCAGGCATCTTCCTGACCCCTGTGATTTCACGTCGTCCTAGGAGAGGGGAGAGAGGCGCCTCTGCTATGCAGGGGCTTCATGCTCCCTGTTCAGACTTCTCCCATTCCTCAGCATAGCTCAGCTCCTTTCCTCGGGGGCTCCTGGGCCTCAGAAGTTGGAGCTATGCAGTCCCCAGCTTCTCCCAGCAGGAGACCAGGGATGTACAAGCCTCAAACCTCGCAGAGACTGTAGGTTTGGACCCATCTGGGCTCATGGGATGTGCACTTTCCAAAAGATCTTAAAGGTGCATCATCTCCTTCTTTCAGTCGTTCCCATGACTTCCTTTCCATAATAAGCACACTAGAGAAACCGCCTGGTCTGTTGCTGCTTCTATGAATTCTTTCCACAGCCTAGAAGTCTTTGAAACCTCCATCTGCCCGATTGGGGAGCCCCACCTGCTCTGCGAAATCCTCTCGGGCTGCCCAGCGCCCACTGTGCCCGCCCTTCTCAGGATTCCTACAACCCTGCTAATCAGCACCATATGGCTTATCAGGACCTGGTCTTCTTGCTCCGGAGTACTGTGCTCATTTCCTTCGCCTGCTGTTAAGTCCCTCGACCAGGACCTGCCAGATGAAATCCAGGATGCTCACTTAAATGGGAGCTTCAGATAAACAATGAATAATTTTTTTAGCAGAAATATAATGCCCTAAGTGTTTATCCTATGAATGTATCCATTAAATCTGGCAATATTAAGGCCAAATCTCATGCTTCTGTGACCACAACAGCACTCAACACACAGAGGGAAGACTCCTCTGGACCATACCACATATCAGTACTAATAAAAACAGCAACAACAACAATAGTTAACACCCACGATGCATCAAGCACTTACATTTGCCAGGTGCTTTACATAGTCTAAGGCAAGGAGAGATCACACAGCCATAAAGGTATCACTGATGGCACCAGGTGGATGTGTGATCCTTTGTTTAAGGCATTCGGAGTCATTTAGTTCAGCTCTGTCATTTGCTATTCCTGAAACCTTGGGCATGTGCCTAGGAGCTCCTCATTTGTTAAGAGGTGGTGCTGATAGTGCCTTCTTCTCGGGGCTGTTATAAGGGTAAAATGAGATAATACTCTTAGAGACTAAGAAATTAGTAAGCACCAAGCACATATGCTCAGTGGGAGACGTTGCTCTGTGGTGTGGGGACAGTGTTGTTCTTGTTGGGAGTGAACAGTGGGGAGGTCTTTGGTCTGAGTGGCCGTCAGAGCTTACAAAGACTGTGACGTTTGACAAGCCAGGAAAGCAGCAGGAAAGTGGGAGGCA